TTTTTTTTTTTTTTTTTTTTTTTTGGTGTGTGTGTGTGTCCATTGTTTCCTTTTTCCTCCAGAAGAAGAGCCCACTCCCAGCCCTCCACCATCTGAAGGAAGGCTAGAGATTGTGATTGATGATAATATAATTAAGAGCCTCGACCTCACACCTGCCCACAAAGTGCTTCGGCGGTACATTTCCAGAATAGGTAAGTAGGCAAAAGCATTTTCAATTTCCAGTTTTTCAAATTTTCACCATAATCATCGCATAATTTATTACTTTCACTTTTTTTTTTTTTTTTCAAATTATTTGTTTTTTAAATCGAAATTCAAAACCATACTTGGCATGATTACCATCCAGTGCCGAAGACTTCACATCCGCAGAAAAACGTTTTAAGGCACATCCAGTGTGAAATTGTGAACCGGTCCCCTAGTCCCAAACCAATAGACAGGGCCCCAACCTTGTCCCATTCAGGGAAAAAAAAGAGGAAAAAAAGAAAAAGAAAAAAAAAAGAGCGCATTTACTCCAGCCCATCATCTACTCTCCTGTCCCTGCACAAGACCAATTTGCCCCTGCCCTCTTTTTTTTTTTTTTTCCCTTTATTTCACTATATTCTTCTCCCAAATTCTTTTTTTTGCCTTTCACTACCTACCTACTCCTAAGGCTATATAGAGGGGACCCCTGCAAGCATAGGGCCTCACAAACGTAGAGGCATTCATCTTTACCTCCACCCCTGCCCTTTTTTATCCCCTGTCTCATCCTTTTTTTTTTTTTTTTTTTTTTTTTTTTTTTTTCAAAATGACGACAACTTTCAGATAATCGTTGAACCCATCATTGGCGGGCCATTGGGCCATTGTTAGCTGGCCCCATTCATCAGCCCTCATTTGTTGGGCCTTCCATCGTGTGCCCATCATTGGCCCATTATTGGCCAATGCATTGCACCATTAAACTGTCAGCGCCTTTCCCATTTATCGGCCGGGGGTAGAAAAAAAAAGCCCGAAATGGAAAACGGGCCGCCGATGAAAATTTATGAAAGGCGGCCTGATCCCACCTGGCTTCCGCGTAACCTGGCGCGGAATTGATTTTCAAGCAGGGATAGGTACTCGTGGTTTAATGGCCGGTGATCTCATCTCATCCTCATTGCATCATTGGATGCATCCTCCCTCAAACCATTAATGGTGTACCATTGGGGCCATCATTGGCCCCTATCATTGGCCTATGATAGGCCCTAACATTGGCCCAACATTGCAGATGATTTTGGCCCATCCACCATTGGGCGGATGATTTTGCCCATCATTGGGGCCATCATTGGCCCATATCATTGGCCTACGATGGGCCCTACTAACATTGGCCCATCATTTCAGATGATGTTGCCCATTGTGGGCCCCATCATTGCCTCCATCATTGGCCCCATCATTGGCCCCATCATTGGCCCCATCATTGGCCAATCATTGCCCCCATCATTGGCCTATCATTGGCCAATCATTGCCTCCATCATTCAACCACTGTTGGTTGGCCCATCATGCCACCATCTTTTTTTTTTTTTTTTTTTTTTTTTTTTTATGCCACCATCATTTTGGCCGAACCTTGGACCAATAATAGCCCATCCTTGGACCATCATTGGGTAGCAATTGAACCATGATTGGACCATCATTTAACAAAGCTTTAGACCATCTAATCATTGATGGACTGGTCTTGTATGCATGTGGGTGGTGGCTTTGAAGTTCTGACAATTATGCGTATTTATAGCCACCCCTTTGCCAGACGGTACGGACTCTCGGAGCCCGTCAAACTTGTACGACCGCCCTGGTCTGTCAGCAGGAGGCATGCCCCCTTCTTCAGAGGAGTTTTTTTTTTTTTTTTTTTTTTTTTCCTTCTTCAGAGGATAATGGAGAATGTCCTCAGCGTTGGTTCGCTGCCTCAAGGGTTTGTTGTTGGCTCGATTTGATATTTTTCTTTTTCAATAGCCCCTCACAGCATTGCGGTGATGTACCAACGGGTCCAACGGGACTTAGCACAGTTGGTACAACACCCATGAACTGTTGAAATATGAATCGGACCCAAGTTCCAATCCACAGTCCAGATGCAGTCAGATCAACAAAATAAAATTGCGGTGCTGCGATTGCACTAAACAAAATAACATTGTGGTGCTGCGATTGCGGCAAGTATTTGAAACTTGTGATCTGTTCCCTAGCAGCTGCATTGGTGTAGCATTCACCTAAAG